ACCACCCCGCTCCTGTCTCCTTGCGCGCCGCTGCCGGTGACTCACGGGCGCCTGGGCGTCCTCTGGTTGGCTCTCGAGCGCCTCCAATCCCAGACGACTGCCCTAATTTCCTGATCCGCGCAACCTGCCGCCGCAGCTGTGAGCTTTTCAAACGGCAACCAGACGCTGCGTGATTGCCTTCCTTCGCTCGTTGGGCCAAACGAGCAGCGCCGCCGCCGCCGCCGTCCCTCTGGACCAGCTGCTGCTGATGAGGCGCGCAGGTGAATCTCCTCTTTGACCTGCCGCCGCCGCCGCCGCCGCCCCTCTGGACCAGCTGCTGCTGATGAGGCGCGCAGGTGAATCTCCTCTTTGACCTGCCGCCGCCGCCGCCGCCGCCCCTCTGGACCAGCTGCTGCTGATGAGGCGCGCAGGTGAATCTCCTCTTTGACCTGCCGCCGCCGCCGCCGCCGCCCCTCTGGACCAGCTGCTGCTGATGAGGCGCGCAGGTGAATCTCCTCTTTGACCTGCCGCCGCCGCCGCCTACCCGCTGTTAGCAGCTCGCGACTGCCCATATGGGCGCGCGCGCGTGTGCGTGATTTTCCCCCCAAAGAGCCCGTTTGGGCATGATGATGCTCAAGGCATGATCCTACTGTATATGCCGCTGGTATTAATTTTCGCACGCATGCCAATTCTGGAGGGTCCAAAACGTGTTTACAGGGAAGCGATTTCTAATCCATCTTGTTTTACTTCCTGGTAAGTATTGTACAGGATTGCTGCTACGCAATAGCGCGATGCCGCGGACATTTTCTCTGATGAAAATCTTGGCGAGTGCAGTGGGGCGTAATCCCCCCCAACAGTATGGTTGCGACCTTACTGCGAATCTTAGGTATTTATTTTCTGTCGTTTAATGGAGGCTTACTTAGAAGTGGTCTACTCTAAAGTCTCATTTCGTTTGTGATTAGACGGCAGCCGTAAAATTAGACGGCAGCCTCTGCTAGTAACCCCTGGTAGTAAACCTCTTGAACTCAGCTTAAATCTGAATAAAAGTTCGTAGGAGTGCTCTACACTACAGTATTCTAGAAAAGTTATGACATTCACATCTCTGGAGTAAGATTCTGGAGCTTGGTAAGCCATTGACTGCAGCAATTCAGGTCCTTATAGATTAAGTATGGCCCATAAATTCAGGAATAAATGCTATGATGGAAAATTGCAGAATTCCCCCCCCCCTTCTGGTCGATGTCTTACAGCTGCCTGTTTCCTTGCAGACAGAGAATAGTATAGCTCTGTACTGTATCCCACTAGCTGAGTTTACACCAGTGTTTCTCAACCTTGGCAAATTGAAGCTGTGTGGACTTCAACTCCCAGAATTCCCCAGCCAGCAAAGTTGGCTGGGGAATTCTGGGAGTTGAAGTC